AGAAAATGAAAATGATACACACACAACATGGAAAGATAGGTGGTGCTCATGGATCGGAAAAGTCCGTCTTGTGGAAATGATTCCACACCCCCAAGGCAATCCAGAGATGCAATGCCATTCCTCTCAAAATATCCATGGATTTTCTCAACAAGTACAACCAAGAATTCCAAAATGCGTCTGGAAACACAAAAGAACCTAGAGAGTGTCAATATGCTCTTCAGACAGAAGCACAGACTTCGGACTTCCCACACCACCTGATTTCCAACTAGCCTGCCAACCTGCCATCATCAAGACATCATGGTATAGGCACACAAGATATCCACATAGATCCATGGAGGAGAAAGGAGAGTCCAGAAAGAAAGCCACGCTTGTGTGTCTACTCATCTCTGACATAGGAGGTGAGAAGGTCCCGTGGGGACATGATAGCCTGTGCAATGAATGGTGTTGGGGAAACAGGACCACTCCATGCACAAGCATCACAATGGATTCCTTTCTCGTGCCACCTACAACAAGAAACACACCAAATCGACTATTGCAACGTAAAACCTGAAGCCAGGCCAGGCCTAGAAGAAACCCATAGGTACTGTGTTCTTGGACCTCAGTCTTAGAACCATGTTTGTGGATTGGTGTCCTCAAGCAAGGGAAAGAGAAGCACAATAAACCCAGTTGGGGCTCCAGGTGACTGAAAAGGTTTTCAATAGCACAGGCAAGTGTATGCATGACGAAAGAGGCAGTGGACCGAATGTGAGAAAACACTGATTTGCAAACATTGTATCTGAGAATGGCAATCATCTGGAAAACAGACTGAGAAGTCGCACAACACAAGCCTTTGAGACACAAAAACCCTAACCTGATGCTTAACCCTAATAATGTGTGTGTGTAATTATTTGCACTGATAGTTATTTTATACTCAGTATACCTAGATTATGTATAATAAACATATTCTATATCATAAAAGATGTCATGAGTGAGAAATAATAGCTATTGAAAACAGTGGTAGAGTCAATTGATTTGGAGTCTCCACAAGCTTGAGCAATTGGTGAAGTAAGAACATTAGAGTAGGTGCACTGAAAAACAATGTAATGGTCAAAAAGTATGAAATAAAAATGTTATAGGATAGAGAAATACATAATAACAAGATCTAAGATATCATCATGTGAAGGGATGGCTGGATAGGAAGGAGAAAAATACCATTGACACCAAGGAGACTGAGTAACTGAGAGGTTAAGGTATTGATGAAAACACAGCTGATTTCACTGAATGTTTCTTGCACTTTGGGTCTTTTCAGTCCAATTTACAAAATTGTTGCAGTAAAACTAATTGACAGTTGCCTAGTTCTCTTGGTCAAATAGAAATTGAGAGGTAACTTCTGCTTAATTATTCTGAGTCTAGTCACTAATCACTCAATATTCATTTCTGGGTCAGAAATACCTGGGCTAAATTGATCTGTGAAAACCTTGAATTATTCCATTCAATCTGGGGAAATGTGAAGGATGACCACAAGTGGTGCAAACTACCCCTTAGCAGCTTCCAAGCTTTCCACCAACAGAAGTTAGAACATGACTTTTAATTAAGCTTATATGCAGTGGTCCTGGGATAAATCTACACTCAAGGTTTTCTGCTTAAGTCACAGCAAAAGAACCCCAAAGTGACTAACAGAACAATCAGTCGATTGCCTCTAAGACTTTGCAATTTCTGTGAGAACTAGAGAAAATATGTAAAATACTCAGCAACGTGCCTGTGACATAGTAGGTGAGACATTAAGAAAAATTATTATTATAGATAAATATCCTCACTTTTGAAGCTTACCATTATGGGCATCTGTTGTTTTAGCCTCTCTAGAATTCATTTACATTTATTTTGGTAACAACTCCTGCTCTCCTGGTTCTCAGCCTTAACCTAGATAATTTGTTTTGTGGAGCTGCTTGATTCACAGCTCTAGTGTGGGCCCAAGACCCAGAAAAATTGGCTGACAGATAGATATATAACAGAAATTGCTCCACAAGGAATTAGCCCAGAGATTTAACTGGAACTAAGTGGGAAAGAAAGCTCTCCTCTTAAGTTTTTAAGCTTGACTTAATGTATCCACCAGGATGCATTTGGTTATGACAATCAGAAAATCCTGACACAATTAGCTTATAAAATAAAGGTAAAAAATCTTACTTAATGTGTGAGATCCATAGGTAAAGATTCTCCAGGGGCACATAAGCAGTATTTCTTTGCAATCCGCTTGGATTTTCCTCTCCCTTTGTTTCTTTAGTTTTTCCTCAGTTTATTTACCTTCTGGGCAGTAAAATGACTACATAAGTCACATTGTCTTACAACATCATGGAGAGGCAAAACCTTCTCTTTCTTGGGTCTCCTTTAAAGGCTGAAGTAAATTCTAGAAGACCCCAGGAACCTGCTCAACTTGCCAGAATTGCAACACAAGCTCATTCTTAAAACAATCTCTGGCCAGGGAAACAGGGCCACCAGGGTTGGCTTAAATTAATCAGAAACTTCCTCTTCCTTGTGAAGGAGTGGATGTCCGAAAAAAAACTGGGTTAGCAAGGAAGAATTGTGTGCATAGCTAGGAATAAGCTGTGATAGTGTCTTCTCAACAGCTGAGAATAAGGCCAGTACAGAACAAAGGCAAAGTTATGGAGGGATGTTCACATACAATATTACTTAGGAATTTGTGGATGACATGAGCCAACAAATTCCTTTCATACTTAAGCCCCATATAAGCCAGGTTCTATCATCTACAACCAAAAGTTCACTAGCTAAAATGCTTACTCAAAGCATTCCTCTGAATCTAACAGGTCTTTATTTTTATCCACATGAACTATAAATATCCTTCAGAATTTCCTATCTCTGTTCTACCACCTATTCTTATACATTCTTTTTTTCTGACTTCTTGCCTTTTCTTATGTTGTTCTCTTTACTTGTTATACTTTGCTGCCTTCATGTCTACCTCTTAAAATCTTAACCTTCCTTTATAACTATATCTCAAATATCATCTTTTCCTAAAGCATTCCAAAAATATCTCAATTTCACATGGTTTCTACTTTAGTCAAAGTCCAGGGCAGCTCTCTGACTAGCATTTAAAAAATTATATATATATATATATATGCCATCTACCAAGATTTAATATAAAAATAGCTTTGGCAATAAATATTTTCAATTATTCTCATAATGCAGAAGAAGAAAGTGAAATAAAGAGAAGTGACTTTCACGATACCTAGCTGACAACTTGGGTTAATACCAAGATCCATATTCTTTCCCTCCCTGCCTCTCAGGTGTGCCTTACTGCACTGCCTCACTATCATGTTGCCTCTTGATATGTAAATTGTGTCTCACTCAACTTTTAGTTTCCTATAGTGCACGTATTGTGCTTTGCATATAATAACTATTGAATAAATATTTGGTCAGTTGAACTGCTTGGGGTTATATCTTGATCTTGATTTATCAATGATTGTTGATTGGCCAACAGCAGATACTTCTTTATATAAGTACAAATAGGCCAGTAGTATCTATCTTTTACATTCTGTATATCAAAAGCAAATTCCCAATAGTCACTGTCACCAGTTTGCATGGAATAAGCAATCTATGCAACCTCTACAAAACAAGTAAGATAATTTGACAAAGAGAATGTTTCAATATACAATTTCAATGAAATAAGTACCACATACAAGGAAGAGAAGATTGCAGGAAATTAATATCATTTCCTCAAACCCAGAAGTTGAATACTAGTTAAGAAAATAGTAACCTCATGCTGTGGAATTAGATGGGGAAACTTAGCATTAATAACATTTATATAGATAATTCGTTAGATTTCCTATAAATATGCTGCTTGAAACCTGAAGAGAGAAGAGGTAGAAAGAACTGTCACTTCATTCTAAAAAACAAACGAACAAACAGGCAAAAAACAAACAAAAAAATCCACCAAAAAAACCTTCAAAAAAAACCTAGATTTTAAACATCATTTGATCTTTGTCTAATAGTGGTATTAATGATTTGTTATAAAGTGGAGGTCCTTCGTAAGAGAGAAAAGGAGGAAAGAGATAATTCTCCTTTTTATAGTCTATTTGGGAATTAATAAAGAAAAGAGGGATGCTTTCTCTAATTTTTTCTTAAAGTTTTAAATTTAAAATGTCCATTGTTAATATTAATACAACTTAGCCCACTGATTTACTGATGAACAGTATCTAGTCAGAATTCACTTTCTTTAAATGAAATGTTTAAAATAACAATTAAATCACAATCTTTCATATTTTTTCTCATGTTTTCTAAAAGGTCTAAAACCATAAACAAACAAACCAACAACAACCCTTCAAACTGTATAGAAAGAGTTTGCACACCCTTTACAGATTCATTTCTAGAGATTAATAAATGAACAATGAGAAGGCAACAGTAATCAAATAGGAGATAAGATAACTCTTCACTGCATATTATTCCAGGAATTTGTGATTTCAACACAGAAATCTGTCTACATGCCTTAAAGTAGTGTGAGGCTCTTCTACCTTTCTTCAGTTCATCTTTAACCTTTGGTTATTGGCTCAGAAGTAAAGTTATATTTTTGTTGTTATAATTTTTTTCTTTCCTCTATAAGGTGTAGAGCCTCTGAATCTGATAGCTGTTAGTCATGGTAAAATAGTTAAAATTTAGCCATGAACTTATGAGGGTATTATAATATGTTGTGCTTCAAACAGAAATCTGAAGATTTCACAGAAAATGCTATAGCAGACTAGATATATAATTAGATGGTGTTTATAGCGATTAGGTAGGTAAGTAGATAGATAGACAAATAGAATAGTACACATCCTATTATCTTCCTCAATAAAATTATGTATCTTTTTTTCTGCCCCAATAAACATTTTTTAATATTTATCTATCTTGTACCTGTTTCAAAAGTGCAGAAGAAAACACCACTAATTAATCAAATGAAATTTCTTGTTTTATCATCATATGCTATTATTGATTTTAATCTCATTGACCTCCTCAGGTCTGGAAACACTTACTGTTCTTTGCATTAGCAGAGGAGAGTCTGTTCCTTCCTCTTTAAAACTTGATTCCATACCGATTATATCCTCAATAATGTCCTCCATCTAGCAAAATATAATACATTTAGAATATTGTGCATAATGATAAAAGTTGCACGTCAGTCTGAATTCAGAGAGAAAAATTTTAGCAATCTTTAAAAGTTTTTTTAGAATATTTAGATTATATGTGTATCAAAACGCAGAATATTTTAGAACTTAAAATGAAGTAATCCTGACACTCTGATCTGTGTTGCTTTTCCTTGCATTAGCTTACGCCAGCTGGCAGGTGACGGCTGGGCAAATCACCCTGGGTTATTCCTTTGGAAATTAGTATCTGCATAAATAGAGTGATTATCATGAATACCTTGAGCCAGAGCTAATATACTTAGCTTGTAGAGAGATGACTTCCTACAAACTTTATTTTTCTTTTAAAATGTTTTGATAGGGGGCTTCCCTGGTGGCGTGGTGGTTGAGAGTCCGCCTGCCGATGCAGGGGACACAGGTTCGTGCCCCGGTCCAGGAAGATCCCACATGCTGCGGAGCGGCTGGGCCCGTGAGCCATGGCCGCTGAGCCTGCACATCCGGAGCCTTTGCTCCGCAACGGGAGAGGCCACAACAGTGAGAGGCCTGCGTACCACACAAAAAAATAAATAAATAAAAAATAAAAAATAAAACACACACACACATACACACACACGTGGCCACTGGGTACCATATTCCAGAGTGTGGCTCTAGGCCCTGTTCTGGACTTTAGATGTTATTCCATGTACACTGAGAGATCTCTAAAGGATCTAGGAAAATAAATATACATGTTTTCTTTCTTTTGGTTAGTCCACTTTCTGAAAGTTTTCAAGTACATTATTGATTGTTACCAAACTCAAATTTTAATTTCATGACATTTTTCTTATTACTACTCCACCATTAAATGGACAAAAAATTTGTATTGAACAGATGTGAAGAAAACCTGAGGGAAGAAGGATGCTAAACACAATTCATGGTAAATGGTTTACTTTGGAGTATTTCTGATAGTTTAAGTAAAAATTACACATGTCATTTGTCCCTTTTCCTTCTGGAAGCTTACATCATAAATTACTCAGTCTCCTGCATCTCTCATTTTTTCCTCTTACCTATAAACATACTCAGGTTTATTCTATTCTAGAAGGAAACCCTTCTTTCTTACATGTCAAAGTTAATCCTCCTTGGAGACTCTACTTTTGCCTTTAACACTTCTATCCCTAATTTCTGTCATCCACCTACATGACTATCTTTTCCCCTAATTTGTTGGAGTTGCTGTCTCTTCCATTATTCTAAATTGACTTTAAAATCTAACCCAAAACTTTGCTTCACAGCTTCCAGGAATCTTCATAATTAATCACCTTGGAATCCAGTTGCTACTTTAAGAAAGACAACAAACACATCATTTTATATCACATGAAACAGAATGAACAGATTAGACAAAAAAGAATTACAAATCAGCAGAATAAGCGTCCTCAAAGTGATAAATGAAGATGATGAAATACAAAGGAAGAACACAATATTTTGACTAAAATAAAAATGGAAATAATAGTTATGGAAAGAATGACGCTCAAGGACAAAGGAAAAGATTATAAATAAAGACTAAGAATCAAGCTTTTCAACAACCCTGGGTGCAAGAAAACAATAGGATAACATTTGAAGTGTTAAAGGTAAAGAATTTTGAACCTAGACATTTATAACCAATAAAATATCCTTTAAGTACGTGCATGAAATAAAGCTTTTCTTAGACATAAAAACTCAGAAGTTTTAGGGCAAAAGGACCTTCGGAAACCACTCTTTCAGGAAGTACACTAGTCAGATAATAAATAAAACTATGAAATCAATACAAAATATAAGAATGAGGAAGTAACAGTAAAATGTTTGTGGTCTAAATAAGAAGAATGTGTGTGTGTGTATTCATTCTAAAAATATCAATTCAGAAAGATAGGTGAGAACAAGGAGAAGACCATACTCAGATAGACTTTTACTTAAGTGTATGACATAGATATTGTTAAACAATGACATAGATAAAGAAGAAATATAGCTATGTGTCTTAAGTTAGGTGTAACCAAAAAGAGAGAGAGAGAGAGAAATTTAATCTATCCAATAGAGGATAGAAAAAAAGATGGCAAATAAGGAAACAGAAAGCATGGTAATTAAAAAAAAACGTGAAAAAAGGTAAGTATTAAGCCCTAATGGTAAAGTAATTACAAGAATGTAAATGAGTTAACATAGTGCTCAAGAAATTATCATTCAAATTGGATTTTTCAAAGGTATTGTAATACTTTGTCTATAAGGGACACATTTAAAATAAAACAATAGAGAAAGCAAAAATAAAGTGCAAAGATGTACCACAAAAATGACCAAAAGGAAAGCAACAGTAGCAATGTTAATATTAGACCATATAAAATTGAAGATCAAATGTTAAAGGAAAAATAATACCAAGTGACCATGAATACATATGCACCTAAAAAACTCTGTAGCAACAGCTGTCAGAAATCTATGAAAAATAAATTCAATTGTAGTTGAATATTTTAGCTCACTACTCTCAAAATCATAAATCTGAATTTAGCCTTCTCTTCACCTATTCTCTAGGCCATGCCTGGGTCCAATCACCTTCTAGTCTATACCACTCCATTTCTGAAATTTTAAATTTAATTATCTCACTCATCAAATGCAATATTCATTTAGATTCCATTTAGACCCCCTATGGTAGATCAACTGAACAATTTTCATTATGACTCTCTATGCTTTTACCCTATTATCTTTCTGCCCAACCACCCCTAACTTCCCAGGAGTTCTATCTCTCTACTTCCTGTTAACTCTGAATTCAAAGTAGAATGGTTCTTGCTCACCATCTTACTGAAATTTCTTTTGTTGCTATTTTCTTTGACTGCTTGACTGATAAATTCAATAGATATTTATCAGTCCTTATTTTACTAGACTCAGTCACTACATTTGAGTGTGTGGGTCATTTCCTCCTTCTTTAAACAGGTTCCTTCAGTGGCACCACACTAGTTATCTTTTTACTTTACCTTTACAGTCCCTTTCCTCTGACCACCCCTTAAATGTGGGTGATCTCCTCAATCCCACCCTTGGTTTCCTACTCTCCTCATTGTTTTCATGTTCTTCAGGAGCTTTCTTCCTCATTCAAATTTTCAAGTACTACCCATAGGCTGACAACTCTTAAATCTCTTCCTCCAGTTTAGATTACTCCTCCTCAAGACAAATTTGGATATCTAGCTGTCACCAGCATCTCCACGTGGTGGTCTCAGAGATACCTCAGTTCTAACATGTTCTAATATAAGGCCTCATCATCTCTCATTGTACTATAGAAATAACCTCCCCACTGGTTGCTCCCTCCCTCCAGGCTTCTTCTACATAGTTGACAGAGTGATATTAAAGTCAAATCTGATTATGTCGCCCTAGCCCTTACATTTAAGCCTTTCAAGGATTTGAAGTTACTTAACACGGAGCACCAGCCTTTCTGTGATTTGTCTATTACCTGCTTCTCTAGTGTGACCTTTTGTCATCACCTGCCTCTCATTTTCTCCTCACCTCATGCTGTTTCCTATTCTTTGCTCATGCTATCTTACTTGGCTAAATTGCCGCACTAGCTATTTTCCCCTAAGTCTACTTGATGTACTTCTGAAACAGAACAGCACTTCTGCACTTCTACATATACCATAGCCCTTTCTACATAATAGTATAATTATTTGCTTCCTTTTTTTCCCTCTTCTCTTCAACTTAGAGTTCTTGTAGAGTACAGAGGATAAGAAAAACAAGACAAGGAATAATTAAAATACAGCATGTGCTGTAAAAATGCTATGATAAGAGCAATTTTTATCCACATGATACAGGTGTTACTATGAAAACTCAGAGAATAGGCAGCTAATCCACACAGAATACCCCCAGGGAAAGAAGAAACCTGAGATGAATTTTGAAGAGTCAGTCAGAATTATCCAGATAAATGGAGATTGAATGAGTAGTTGGTAAAGAAAGGATATAAGGAAGGAGAACCTGGCCGCTGTGAAAATCACTAGTGAACCATATGGCTGAAGAACAGAGAACCATGCAGATGTGTAATGATAAGTCTGGGTAGGGTAGCAAGGGTTAAGTGTGGAAGAGTCCTGTGTGCCGTGAGTCCAAATTTGAATTTTATCTTGGAAAGACCCATGCTATAAAATGCTTATTCGACTTTATATCTGATTGTCTTGGAGCGCTTTAATCACCTAATTGCTCCTAATTCCAACCCCCAAATCCTAAATCTATGGATGCTCTCATAGATTTATTCTGTGGTAGCTATGGTTTCTGGGGTCTTTGAATTAATGAAATGTTCCATGATGTCACAGGAGGACAAGCATAGAAGAAATAAACACCAAAATATGGCAACAGCCACCAAATCCTGAGCAATCCCACTGCCCTTGTGTTAGAAACTTCAAAAAATGTGAGCATCAGAGTGACATCACCAAGATGGCAACATAGTTAGCTCCTGAATTCACTCACCATCATGAGAAGAACAATTAACATCTATTCAGAAACAAGACACCACTAAGAGAATCCTAGAGCACGGGGGTGAGGCTGAAATACCCCCTGAACCTCAGAGATCAAGGCAGACTGCATCAGAAGGTGAGAGAAGCAGCTACATGTTGACCACATTGACCCTCCCCTAGGACAGTGCAACACTGCAGAGAGGTCTTCTCTGAGCCACTGGTTCGTCCAGGGGGAAAAGAGAACCCAGGGCGGACAACCAATCTCCTTCAACATTGTGAGCTGCTCTGTGGGAGCCCCTACTTTGATCTCACACTATGGTAATTGCAGAGGAATCTATGGGGCCCAGCCACTGGGAATCTGTGACAGAGAAGCAGGGAGGGGCTTGCAACAACCAACAAACAGATCTTGGCAGACAGTTCATATCTGCAGTGCCTGCGTAGTAAATCCAACCAGCGACATCGTTGGTCTGCAGAACCAAATCAGGGGTACACTTTGGTCAGGTAACTTGGGGGGAGGGGGCATAGATCTGACTGATTCAGATCCTCAAAGGAGTTTTA